TTACCCCTTGTGGCAGCATGAATGGACCTGAGAGTATTATGCTAAGCGAAATAAGTCAGACAGAGAAAGACAAGTACCATATGATCTCACTCATATGTGGAATCTGATGAACAAAATAAACTAACAAGCAAAATACAAGACAAAATCATAGATAGAGAGAAGGCTGACAGCTGTTGGGGGTTAGGGGTGGAGGGACAGAGGGAAAAAGAGAGAAAACTTATAGACACGGACAACAGTGTGGTGTCTGCGGGGAGCGGGAGGAGGGAAAAGGGGGGTAAATGGTGACAGACGGAGGCTTGACTCGGGGTGAGCACACAGTGCAGCATACAGAGGATGTGTGGCAGAGTTGTGCACCTGAAACCTGTATAATTTTGATAACCAGCGTCATCCCAGTAAATTCAATAACAAGGGAAAACATTTTAAAAAGAATGTTGAATTAGCCCTCAGGGGATGTCTGACTGATGGCTTAGGCCCACTCCCAGGGGGCCTATATCCCCAGAGGGCTCCCGGACTGCAAGAGGGCACAGGCTGGGCTGAGGGACTCCCCCTCCCCACCCCCCCGAGTGCATGAATTTTTTGTACTGGGCCTGTAGTATTAATATAAAACTTTAGCATCTGTAAGACATTTTTATTTCCCTCTGGCATTAGACTACATTTAAAATATAAACTCTTTGAACAGATAAAAATACCTATACAAGTCCAACATTTCTGAAGTATATTCCATCTCAAATGAGCACATACATAGCAGCAAAGAAAAGTTAAATTTTGAAAAAACAAACAAACATAAAAAGACTAGCTTTGATTCCAAAGTTACCCAAGCTGTCGGAGGAAATATTTAAAAGGCACGATTACTGATCTTTCTATGTGAAATCAATATTGACAGTTACAAGACTTTGAAGTAAAAGTAGCACATGTCTAACTAACAATAGGTCCTTCGAAATTCTTTCATGCTTGTAAGGTGCAATCTCATCTGACACCCACAACACAGCCTAAAACGGAAGATGTTTGAGGAAGTTAGGACGAACATCAAGGGTAATAATGATGTTTAAAAAGAAGAGAAAACATCCTTTGACAGTCTCACTAGGGAGTCTCGGTTGGAAATGTCCTCCGTCCACATGACCATCCTGCTTGGTCTATGCCAGCCACAGGGCGGAAGTGCTGGGACGTTTATACCACCCCTCCCCACCCCAGCACCCCCACAGCAGGAGCAGCCATCAGCCACAGAGCCTGGGGCTGGCGTGCCTCATCCCAGCCCCATCACCCCTTGGGCAGAGGGATCCCGAGGTGTACGATCTGCACCCTAGAGCTGTCCGCGGGGATGCTGGCTCAGTAGGACACTGCCGAGGGCTGCTTCCCTTCCCTGCTCCCGACCAGCATCCCCTCACTGACCAAATCCACTGCCGCACTCACAGCTCTACAGCAGGTTCTGCTCTGGGAGACCTCAAGTTAAAAGTGTTTTACAGCCTGTGTCTCACAATCTATCCCTGCAACAACCGTGGGACTCTCAGGAGGAAGGGAACAACCTGGTATAACCAGACTCCCTAACACTGACTGGCTCCCACTCATGTCTCAGGGAGCACAGAAAGGAAGCAGCCCTAGGCATTGTCCTACTGAGCCACCAGCTCTAGGTTAACTGTGTGTGCTGTGGACTATTGGAAAAAACAATAATTATCTATCTGCGTATCTATCTATCATCTATCTATTATCAATCTATCATCTATCTATTGTCTACCTATCTATCATCTATTATCTATCTATCTGTCTATCAATCTAGCTGTCAAAAATTTGAGTCCATGGCGATGTTTACTTCCTCACTGGGTTTGTGAGGCATGTGTGAGTGGTTGGTACTCACCCAAGACC